AGGGGTGGGTGGGTGTGGGGGGCTGGGTAGGAGGGGGGTTGGGGGGTCAAGGGTAAGGGTGAAAAAAATGAAATTTTGAAATTGAAAATATTTTTTGAAAACAAACTTAAAATTATTTTTTCTTGGAGTGGGGTGGTTGGGGACAGATTTGAGGGTAGGGATAAAATAAATTGATTTTTTCAACAAAATAATAATTGTAATTTGAAGTTTTAAGAAAGTTTTGGAAAATGTTTTTCATAAGTTTTGAAAGGAAGTCATTTTCCTTAAATTTGAGGAAAGTGAGTTGATTTGGAAAACATTTTCCAAAACATTTAACCCAACCAAACATGAGACCAAACACACCCTTAATGGTCTCTTCTTCTCTTTTTTTGTTCTTTTTCGCAAGAGTTCCAGAAGAAACTTTATTAATATTTATGGGAGAGCTTTGAAGTTCAAATTCAAGTTATGAAATTTCATTTTTTTTAATGGTTTTTAAAGGGTGTCGTTTTGAATGAGGATATATCATGAGGAGTTCATATCTCGAATTAGATTGATGCAGGTTTGAAGTGATTTTTTCAAAGAAATGCGCAAGTTAAAAATGTAAAATCAAAACCATGCTACATAATTGTAACAACAATCAACTTGTTCATATATCTATCGCGATTGTATATACTCAAAAAATATTCATATGAGTTCAATTATATCCCTATATGAACAATCAACAATGATGCATTCATTGAAATACAATTTAAAACAAAAAAAATGTATATTTGAGTAACATGTATCAGAAATTCATTTCTCGTACATACATGATGCATACATTTAAAAATTCAAATTTATTACCTATGCATATCAATTGTATGTGCGATATTTTCTTTTGGGAGGCGGGGGGTGGGGGGTGTTTATAAAGTGTATTAAGTGTGATGTATATATGTTAATACTACGTAAAAAGCTCGTGCACAATGTAAATCTGACGTCTTATTGAATTTGTAGTGTAGTTGCTAAAAATATTGTTAATGCAGAAACTCAACTTATTATTATTAAGTTTTTTTTTTAATCTCTCTGAATATATGCCTGTATAAATATTATCGTTAATGCTTTCACTTGCATTACATTGGTTGAGTCTTTTCTATTTTACCAATGTTTATATTGAAGTATTAGAGTAGCTATAGCTTAGACTAGATAATTATGTATTCTGTATAGTAGTCAGCTGATGTGATTAGAATAGTCGGTTAGAAAGTTGTTAGTTTGTTAAGGCAATTACAGCATCAACTTCACATTACATGTACATATATAAACCTCACTTGTGGTAGATAATTCAATATACAGTTTTCATTTTACAAATTGCTTTTTCATTCTCCCAACAATGGAGTCGATTACTCCATTGAAGCTCAACATTGAGCTGGATTGAATCTGACATGGTATCAGAGCCTCACGGCTAAATTCCGCGATTTCGTCATCTCATCCTCGCTTTTCTTCTTCCTTCTTCTTCTGATGAATTGCTTTTCGCAGTAATCCTCTGCAATTTCGTATCCGATCTGAAATCGATCATTCGTTATTCTATCGATCTCTCATCTGTTTGATTGATCTCTCCTCTGTTTTTTTTCTATTTTCCACCATGGGAGATCAAACTGAAAATGTCGGTGTTGTTCCTTTGGGTTTAGCTGGACAACCAACAGTTGACACAACCAGTCCACTCTATGTGCATCCCTCAGATAATCTCGGTGCAATGTTAGTACTAACTCCATTTGATGGAATCGGGTATCGATCATGGAGAAGAGGCGTTCTGCGATCCCTATCTGTGAAGAACAAAGTCGGCTTCATCACCGGAGAATGTGTGAAACCAGGGCCAACTTCATCTCAACTGCGACAATGGGAGAGGTGCGACGATATGGTAACTTCTTGGATCCTTAACTCTCTTACTAAGAAAATTGCAGATAGTGTTGAATACGTTAATAGTTCAATAGAGCTCTGGAAGGAGTTAGATGATCAATATGATCAAATCAATGGTGCGAAGCTATACCAAATACAAAAGGAAATTAACGACATAGCTCAAGGAAATCTCGATATCACTACTTACTATACTAGATTGAAAAAGTTATGGGAAGAGTTGTGCACTCTAAATGCCCAGGGACAATGTACATGTACTTGCACTTGTGGTGCAAAAGATAACTCACATAAGGCAGAACAATCTCGGAGATTGATTCATTTTCTCATGGGACTCAATGAAGTGTACACTGTGGTGAGGGGGAATATTCTTATGATGACTCCATTGCCAAGCATGGCGCAAGCATTTTTGATATTGATTCAGGAAGAGAAACAACGCGAGTTTAAACCAAACAATCAACACTTCATGGAGTCCACCTCCCTCAATGCAAGCTCGTCTGGTGCTTCTTCTTCAAGAGCCTTTAAGACAAATTATTCCCCAGCAACTATCCTCCGAGGCAAAATTATGCATCTGGTAGTACATCTGGAAATTACTATACAAGAAGGCCTATGTGTGAGTACTGCAAGAAACCAGGGCACACAAAAGATAAGTGCTACAAACTGCATGGTTATCTGACTACCAACAACATATCTAATTCTAGTAATAATCACCAGAATTACAACAGTAGCCAGGATCATCACCAACAACAGCCTTACAGGTCCAATAAAGGGAAAGGAAAAGTGGCAAATGTACATGGACAACCTGCTGTTGACGTCTCAGATAAAGGGAAGGGTCTGGCCATCCAGAATGAGGATCAAACTGTTAGTCTAACCAAAGAGGAATATGGACAAATGATGCACTTGCTGAGACAATTTCAATGCAATGATGATTCAGACAACACTCATGGAACTACAAATTTTACAGGTATTGTAATCTGCACTTCTTCAATTGATTTTAGTAAGCCATCTTGTAAATGTTATGAATCAAAGGTTGACCAGTGGATTCTAGATTCAGGAGCTTCCAACCACATGACCTTTAACAAAGCCTCTTTGACCAATATAAAAACACTACCATACCCAATGCTTATCAGTCTTCCAAATGGTTATAAGGTTAAGGTACAAGAATTTGGTGATGTAACACTTAACCCTGAGATTATCATACATAAGGTGTTGTATGTTCCCTCTTTCAAATACAATCTGATTTCCATTCACTCTTTAAATGTTCAACTCAATTCCATTGTGTTATTTACTAAGTCTTCCTGCATTTTGCAGCCCCCTTCAATGAAGAGGCCTCAGGAGATTGGTAGTAGCAGAGATGGACTGTATTACCTGTGTTCAAAGTGCTTGAAAAGCAACAGGGTCAATTCTAAGACAAATCCCATTTCCTCTTGTAATTGCATTTGTAGTTCAAGCTCTAGTTCTTGTCTTTCTAGTTCACCATCTTTGCATTCAGTTGTAGACCTTTGTAATAAGAATATTTCTCTTCAAGCTGCTGCATGTAATGAAAGTGTTTTCCTTCAGTCTGCTCTTCCTTGCTCATCTAATGAAACTAATGTGGACTTGTTATGGCACAATAGGCTTGGACCTGTTCCTTTTTTGTTAGACTAACAGTTTGATCCTCATTCTGGATGGCCAGACCCTTCCCTTTATCTGAGACGTCAACAACAGGTTGTCCATATACATTTGCCATTTTTCCTTTCCCTTTATTGGACCTGTAGGGCTGTTGTTGGTGATGATCCTGGCTACTATTGTAATTCTGGTGATTATTACTAGAATTAGATGTGTTGTTGGTAGTCGGATAACCATGCAGTTTGTAGCACTTATCTTTTGTGTGCCCTGGTTTCTTGCAGTACTAACACATAGGCCTTCTTGTAGAGTAATTTCTAGATGTACTACCAGATGCATAATTTTGCCTCGGAGGATAGTTGCTGGCGGAATAATGTGTCTTAAAGGCTCTTGAAGAAGAAGCACCAGACAAGCTTGCATTGATGGAGGTGGACTCCATGAAGTGTTGATTGTTTGGTTTAAACTCACGTTGTTTCTCTTCCTGAATCAATATCGAAAATGCTTGCGCCATGCTTGGCAATGGAGTCATCATACAAAATGCAAAGTATATCCTCTATCCCTGCACAATTTTCCCCAAAATAACCCTTCATGTGCACGATATGTCCATGGCCATACAAAATAGACTTCCATTCCCCACAAGAACCACTGAAACTACAAAAATCTTTGAACTAATTCACATTGACCTTTGGGGGCCTTATCATACTCCGACACATGACAATTACAAATATTTCCTTACCATAGTGGATGACTTTAGCAAGTCTACTTGGACACATTTATTAAGCTGCAAAAGCAATGCCCTACAAGTTATCAGAACATTCATTTCTCTGATTGAAACCCAATTTAAAACTACCATTCAATCTGTTAGGTCTGATAATGGCCTAGAGTTTACCAACACTGAAGCCACAAAATACTTTCAAGCCAAAGGAATAATCCACCAGAAAACATGCCCTTATACACCCCAACTTAATGGCATTGTGAGAGAAAACACAAATACCTTCTTGAGACTGTTAGGGCATTAATGTTTCAGTCACAAATACCCCTAAAGTATTGGGGGGAATGCATCTTAACATCAACACACATCATAAATATACTACCCACCACATCACTGAAAAACAAATGTCCATTTGAAGTCCTTCACAATAAGAAACCACAGTATTATGAATTGAGAGCTTTTGGATGCCTATGTTAGCCTACTATACCTAAGCTCCACAGAGATAAATTTGACCCCAAAGCCACACCACACATCTTCATTGGATATCCATTTGCAACGAAAGGTTACAAGGTATTAAGCCTAGCAACAAAAAGACTGCATGTTTCTAGAGATGTTGTGTTTCCTTTTAGTTTGTCTCCAAATGGGTCTTCCTTTCCTGCTGTCTTTAAATCTGTGTCAAAATCTGCACAATCTGCAGATGTGTTCATTGATGATGTGTTACCTAGTGCTGCACCTATTTATGATAATCAAAGAAACACTAGTGTTATAACCTCAAATTTTGGTCCTGCCACCATTAAACCTCCTTACTCCCACAATGATGTTGTACCTAAAACACAACCTACTCAACCTCAAAGGAGATCTATTAGGACCCACAAAGCAGGTACCTACCTGCTAGATTATGTATGTCCTACACCCAAAGCAATAACTTGTTCCACACCATTATCTCTAAGCTCACTATTTTGTCGACATAGTCACATTGCTCCTGATGTCCTAGCATTGACTAGTCAGCACTTGGTTAACAATGTTTGCAATGATAGTGAACCATCATCATTTGAGCAGGCAATTCTCAATCTTGCATGGCAAACAACCATGACACAAGAATATGAAGCATTACATGCCAACCACACATGGGATCTGGTTCCTTTACCTGAAGGGAAGAAAGCCATATGATGCAAATGAGTTTACTAAGTAAAGCACAAGGTTGATGGTAGCATTGAGAGGTTTAAAGCTAGACTAGTTGTCAAAGGCTATACTTAAAGAGCAGGAGTAGATTATACAGAGACCTTTTCCCCTGTTGTCAAGATGACTACTGTCCGATCATTGATTGCTAGTGCTGTTGTCACAACCCGATAGCACCCCTAAGTCGCGACACGGCGTACTCGACCTCTCGGAGGTCTAATACAAGCCCTTAGCATTCATCACATTAGATATGTAAAATAGTGCGGAATTAAAAATTCTTTAAATAAAATCCCATAAGACTCAAAGGTCACTTTTAAAAACATCATTCAAAAGTACACACGCGGAATACTAAGTCTCTTAGCCATCTTAGACATAAACGTGAAAACATACTAGGGGCACGGCCCTTTACAATCAAAAGAAGTCTATTAAGTCTATTACAAGAACCTTATCATAAAACTAAGAATATAAAAGTACTTGTCCTCGACATATGAGGACATACCACAAGATCTTGGAAGAACTTCAAGTTCCAAGCTTACTATAGAACCCACTCACTTTCCAGAATCTACACTAGTAGAAAATAGAGAAATATGGAATTAGCACAATTAAGTACTAAGTATGATAACCATGCAAAAC